GTTCACCATACAAATACGCTACAGTAAATTAAAATTACATTAAACATTACTAAAAATTTTTTGCTCCGCCCTAGAAAGTTAATCGATTTTTTTGTCCACCCCCCCCCCCCATAGAAAGAGTTTTCTGCGGGGCGCCCATGCCCAGTTATTATCATTACCGACACTTATTACTATTATCCACACTTATAATCATTACCCACACTTATTATCATTACCCACACTTATAATCATTACCCACGCTTATTACTCGCAGTGTTATCATTACCCAAGATGTTGAGGTTTATTGATGAAATACTATATGTGTTTCAAATTAACTATGCACTAGAATTATGTGTATAGTAACACATCCACTCGCCTTTAGCCACAAAATGTGTAAATCAATCAATTTTACAATCTTAGTAGGATCCTAACACACCCACCTTGACGTCAGAATGGAGTATGGGGGCGGAGTCTACCCGGAGCTTCAACTATTTTCTTGATATGGAGGGGCGGCATTATGGCAACCGAATATTATTTTCGTGGAGGTGGGGTGGAAAGAATTTTGGTCCGCCCCGCGCGGCACTAACCCTAGCTACGCCCCTGCATACAGATTAAGTATATATACATATACGTAAACATCAGTATATAAATATGTCTTTAATCAAAGCAGCCACACGTTATTGTTCATAAGACTATTTTCTAAAGAGCGATTTCTTTAAATCGTCAAACTCGTCATCCCAAGACCTTTTCGTGGCATTCCTCAATTCCATTAGACGAGGAAACATTCCTTCATCAACGCCGTGTTTGAATTCTGTAGGAATGATTTCACAACGTGTTACAGCCACAGCAACGCCGCCGTCACCATCCGAATGTTCAGAGGCCCGCTGTGGGCAGGTGTCGTGATGGAACACGTGATCCTGTTGGAACTGACGGCACTTAACCGAGTAACGAGCTTGTAGGTATTGCAGTAGCATGGGGCATCTGTAACGGATAGTAGATAGTACAAAGTACAGTTAATTCTGTATCAGATAGTGCAGTTAATTCTGTTAAGGATAGTACAGTTAATTCTGTAACGGATAGTGCAGTTAATTCCGTAACAGAGTGTACAGTTAATCTGTTAAATATAGTACAGTTAAATATAGTGCAGTTAATTTGAGAACAGATCGTGTAGTTAACTTACGTAGTGTAAAAACTTTTGATGTCAAATAAATGAATGTTTTAAAAAATCCTTTATATTAACTTCGCATCTGTGTGTTTAGGGAAAAACATTCTGACAACTAGTTGACACACTTCCCGTCAATCAAACGAGCTGAAACGTGGCACTTAGAATCGTTGCCTGTGACTACACATTCTATTAAATTATCAGTCCTAACCCCAGCACCGAAAATCAGTTGTTTATTGTTTTTCAAGGAGGAAATGAAGAAAATATCATGCCAAAATTTGTGGAAAAAAAATTCCCGATAACTGTGCTAAATGGGATTCTTTCTTAAAATAATTAAAGTAATACTTTCTTTTGTTTTTGTTTTTCTGAAAAAGTTGGTGAACTAAAACCTGCGGTGTAAAAGCGGGTGGGGATTAAGATATTTATATAAAATAATTTTAAAAAATGCTTTTTAAAAGATTTATACGAAAAACTCTTTTTTTAGTTGCTTTTTAAAATTCCCAAATAAGCTTTAAAAATAATTTTGTGCTGTATAAAAAAAAAGTCACTCTAGCAAATTGAAGTGGTTACCTTGTCTTAAGGCTCTGTCCAGCAAAGGTCTGGAGGTAAAGCCGGACAACCTCCATGCATTCCTTGTAGCCCTCATTGAACGCCCCCGACACGTCTGTAGCACCAGGCACGTAATCAAGGGGGAAAGAAATCGTAAAAAAAAAAAAAAGACATTTCACGTCCTTTTGTTTCAGGAGCCAAGATACTCAAGTCAGTCAAATCAATGATGTGGAACACGAAATCTGGAGGGAGGAGGAGTGGGACCGTGCAACACTGGTGTGTGTTGCGGAATTATATGTATGTGTGTGTGCGTGCGTTCGTATCTGTGGGTGTGCATGCGTGCGTGTGTGCATGTAGTTACTCAATAGTCAGTGAATAAACCGCTGGGGAAGTGACAAGTGTGAACGGTTTGAATATCCGTTGTTTCAAATTCGAGTGATCGCTGTCACTTTAAGGGCAACTGAATGGGGAAAACACTAAAATTTGAAGACATGAATATGTTGTAGGACTATTTGCTCTTTGTAACGGCATCAAATATATATGTTACTGTGATTTAAAAATGATGTTTTCGTAATTGTCGTCTCTCCTTTCTATTCGAGGTCCAGTGGTAAACAATGTCACATGATACATTTCACGACATCCCATGTGACGTAATATCCGAATGTGACCTATATCATTATAGGATTTAATTATACACGTGGCACTCGTTGGATAACTTCTGGGAATCGCCACTCGGGACACGCGCGGGCCGAAGACACATGTGACCACCTGTTGTTTTTTTTTTAATGAACAGCACATGACCATCGCACTGTGCACACGTGAGCGACGGCGCGCATTTTAGCACAGGACGTGCCACGGAGCTCACGCCAATGTGCCCTGACACGTTCTAGAGGAGGAACTCCTTTGTTGTACGCTAGCTGGCTACATCGCTTTGGTTTTTTATAGCCTCGTGACCGGCAGTTCCGCGTTCTGAGTAACGATTTTTTTAAGTTACAGAGAATGTCCACAATAGGGTTGGCCATTTCTAAGACCGGGAATCGTCACATCGCATTTTTAGAAAATATTTACATGAAATATATCTTATAACAATATATTTCCACATATATATATATATATAATTATATATATAGCAATAACAATTTGTTTGAACAATCTTTCGTAAAATAACGTTGTAATTACGTTTTCGTCTATGTCAAAACCCATTGCGCTGGCTCACATAAACGTAGAAGTACCGAACAGCTGTTGAGAGATTGGCCAAACGGAATACCAGGATGTTATATTAATATTTTAATGAGATTGGCCAGACTGTACGCCCGGATGTTCTATAAATATATATCCGCCACTAAATGACGAACACTAGAGTACAACATGACACTGACTGCAATCTGACGTATAGCTTATCGTGTACGAACACTTTTACCCGCTGACAAACAAATTTACGTCACCATGAAAGCTGTGGTTTTAAAAGCTATTCATGATTGCCGCATAGACAGAAGAAAACAATGCGACTTTGATTCAGAAGTGTAAATGCGAAATAAGAAGAGTTGACTTTTTCTTTTAAGCGAAGTCCATAAATTGACACATAACAAATCAAAGTAGATTGAATCTCAATAACAGTTAACTTTCTTTTACTAGTTTCTGTTTATCATCTTGTCATTTTTTCTTCTTCTTACAATCTTGTCATACTCATGCTTTCAGCTTATTACCAGCTGGTCATTTTTTTCGCTTACACATTGTCTTCATTTCAAATTGACAGATTTTCATAATGTCAGCCTAACATCTCGTCCTTGTTTCGACTTAACATATACAGTCATATAGGCAAATTTTCATTATTATTTTATACCTTACCATCTTGTCCAACATTCCTTTTATTTCTCTCAGCCTCCAATTCTTTCAGGTACATGACTGTCATCTCCAGGATATAAGCTTTCTCAAGTTTCCTGTTGCTCTGCAAGTAAAACCAGAAAACGGTTTCAAGCACAGATTGGTGTTTCCAAAATACCAACTCCCACGAATCGGTGCATCTGTTATAATTTGCCCTAAGAAGAATGGAAACAACATACATTACTTTGAAAAGCCACTAACGACATTTTATGCCAACAAAAGAAAATACAAAAATCTTATCCCCAGTTTCACAATACCCTAAAACATCAACTATAGTGCGGTGTAAAGTTTCTATTGCAAACATTTTTTTCCCTTCTATATATTAAGGGCCCACGATCAATTTATTGATCATTTTGGCTCCTATATTCATGGAGGGAGGATGGAAAAATACAATCTGATGATTTTATGGATGCCAATAATTAATGTTATTAAGGGCATCAGTTGTCCGCCCCCCCCCCCCCAAAAAAAAAAAAACATTTTTAACCCCCATTGTTATGTTAGGGGATGTTCTCTGAGAAAATAAATTTGATAGTATTTCACATTTAGAGAAATTTCCCGTAGCACTAAGTGGCTTATTATTAAAATAGAATTGTAGAAGATAGGTTTTCATCACGTGAGGAAAAGGAAATGGAATCTTGGCACACGTTTATTATATTGAAAAATGAATATTACTTTTGAACGAGTTCTCAAATAGTGATGAATACGTCATGACGCACGAGTGAACTCTTAAATAATCTTATTAAAATATAAAAAAATTTAAGAAATCATTTTAAGAAATCTGTTTGATCCAAATAAATGGGAAATTCAATATTCTGACATTGCACATCTTGTTTACAGCATTGAAAGTCATTTTC